GCTTTATGAGCCTAATGGAAAATCAATTAGACAAGAATATAAAAGCTCTTCGAACTGACCATGGTTGTGAATACTTATCAACCCAATTTAATGGATTATGTGATGAAAAGAGAATAGTTCATCATTTGACTATCCCCTAATACTCCACAATAAAATGTTTTTGAGAAGAGAAGAAACAAAACGCTCATAGAAATGGTTAGGTCAATGATGGCGCAAGTTAACCTCGCAATTAGTAGATGGGTGATTGTTGCTTACTGCCACCTATGTACTTAACCAAGTGCCTACAAAGTCAGTTACTACTACTCCATATGAGTTATAGACTAGAAGACAAGCCGACCTGAGTGTATTAAGACCTTGGGACTGTGTTGCCTATACACATGATTCCTCTTACAAATATGAAAAATTGGGCACGAGGGGAAAGAAAAGTATCTTTATAAAATACTTTGAAACCTCAAAGGGTTATATGTTTAATGGTCAGCAAGATAGTGGGAGTGTAACTGAGTTTGAATCACAAGATGTCACATTCTTAGAGGATGAGTTTCCTAAGAAGGGAGAGGTAGGTCAAGACCTAACCTTATTTGAGATAATGGATCAAGAACTACAAGGATCAGTTCATTCTAGTAGGAGAATTTTAGCAAATGATGAATTAGTTTTTCATAAAGGACCTCCATCATCATTAGATGTGAATTAAATTAATCCTTATATATTTAGTGGAAGTGAGAAAATGAATCTTGTTTCAAGTAGGAGCGAGATGGTCACAGATCTTGTTTCAAGTGGGAGAATGATGACTGTTCTTGATCCAAGTGGGAGCAACATTGATCTAAATGGGAACAATTATGAATCACAAATAAGACGTGGTTCTAGTAAAAAAACTTCCCACGCGATTTGATATTGAAGGCGATGAATAATTTATGATGCTCCTACAAGAAGAAAGTGAGCCTAAAAATGTAAAAGAGGCTCTCTCATGCCCTTATAAGGATAAATGGACAAAATCAATGGAAGATTAATTGGAGTCTGTGGGAGTCAACAAAGTTTGGGAACTAGTTTACCTCCTTGAAGGACATAAAGCAATTGGGCTATTCGTATAGTAGTAGGTTTGAGAACCAGCTCAAACAGTTGGTTGTTCATGGCCTAGTTGTACCTACCGTCTTTCTTTTGGATCAATATCAACAGTTCATCAAAAGGTGATCCCCCTACTATCTACAAATTCAGACGAGATAAGAGTGCTTATTTCCCAAAAAAAGATTCAGCCCCCTTCCCTTCCTGACGATCGGTAATTCTTTCTATCAGCTTCATCTGCCCATCTGAGAACGACGAACAAATGGGTTCTCAAAATTAAGCTCAAGGTTGATGGAATAGTTGGGACATATAAGGCTTGACTGGTGGAGAAGGGGTACACACAACAGAAAGGAATAGACTACGAATAGACTTTCTTTCCTGTTGTATGATTTACCTTTGTTCACCTGGTTCTAGCTATTGTTGCAAGCTTGGATCTTGAATTACATCAGATGGATGTAAAGACTGTCTTTCTCAATGGAGAATTAGATGAAGAAATCTATATGAAACAACCTAAGTGTTTCAATAAAAAGGGCCACAAACAAAAAAGTTTGTAGACTTTTGAAGTCTGTTTATGGCCTCAAACAATCTTTAAGACAGTGGTATATACATTTTTAGAATGTTGTCATATCCAATAGTTTTACCATGATGGACGAAGACCAATACATTTATACCAATAGATCAAGGAACAAGCTAGTGATGTTAACATTGCATATAGATGACATACTTATAGATGGAAATAATAAGTACTTTATAACCAAGATAAAGTCATGGTTGTCATATCAATTTGAGATGAAAGATATGGGTGAAACTGCATATATTCTTGGAGTTAAGATTTCAAGAGATCGTCCAAAGAAACTATTGTATCTCTCACAAGAAAATTTCATTAGAAAAATTCTTGAATCATGAGAATTACATTAGGAAAGTTCTTGAACGATTCAATATGTAAAATAGTAGCCCAATTGATACTCCTATCATTAAAGGCCATACCTTGGGAAGTCAGATATGTCCTAAGACTCCTGAAGAGATAGAAAGAATGAGTCGATTTTCTTATATGAGCATAGTCGGAAGTCTAATGTATGCTATCGTGTGTACTAGACTTGATATCTGTCAAGCAGTTGGCTTAGTAAGTAGATATCAAACTGACCCAGGTTTAGCATATTGGCAAGTAGTAAAGAGTATCATGAGATTTCTAAAGGGAACTGTTGATTATGCACTTTGTTACCAAGGCGACAAAGATCTGCGGTTTGTTGGATACAGTGATGTTGATCTCGAAAGAGATCGAGACGAGAGGAAATCTACCTCAGAATATGTTTTCTTACTCAGTGATGGCACGATATCATGGAGTGGTAAGAAACAATCATGTATATCACTATCTACGATAGAAGCCGAATACGTACGCCACTCTCGCTTCAGCACCATAAGAAGTTGTTTTGTTGAAAAAGTTCTTGCAATAATACTTGTTGGATATCGCTGAAGACACTAAACTAGTGTTAGTCTACTGTAACAGTAAGGCTGCAATATCCTCCACTAAGGACCGTAAGTTTCATTGTAAAACCAAACACAAAGATATCAAGTATAGCTATGGTTAGACGTAAGGTAGTGAACGTAAAGTATGAGTCTATAAAAGATATGTTAGCAGATCCATTGACTAAGCCTTTGTCTAGAGATACATTTATGAAACACACTAGGTCTCAAGGCTTGCGTAAACTTTGAGACACTTCATTTTGTTCTTTATTTTGTCATGTTCACAAAACTGATGTTCTTTGATTATGAATAAAGTTAATTTATATACATACATACATATTTATTGTTGAATGTTATGTGCATTCTATATTCTTTTTTTTATAAGTATGTTGAGTAGACAAGAAGTTGACCTTCTCACACAGGAAACTGCCTCCTTATCTTAATAATGTGATGATATGAGACATGATTTTAAGCAAAATTATCATAAGGATAATTTGAGAAATATTCGCTTAAAATCAGAATGTGTTTTAACAATGACATAAGGTCATTATGGTGAAAAACATTCACCTAGTCTATTTTGTAAGCCAGATATGAGTTAAAAATGATATTGTAAATCAATGAACTAAAATTTAGATACTTATGGTTTTTAAATATCAAATGTATAACTTCCTTTATGAGATAAAAACATACGCTTCTTGGGAAAAAGGAAAAGATGTTGTAGCACATGTTTCATACCATGTGTGCTATTGTCGACCAATTGGATTAACATAAGTCCATTCTCAACTTAATGTTGAGACCCAGAGCTTTTATGGTGGCTCAAGATTTTGTACCCTCAAAGACTCTGATCAGATACTTATGACCTAGTGTGATGTCTATCTTAATGTGTTTCCAAAGAAACATGAACACAAATTCGGTCTAGCAGTGCATATCTAGAAAAGCAATCAAATTAATTAATGTTAAGGGGATTTTGAGAAAAGGAAGTTCATTGATGGAATGTCATTTATTTGTATTCACTGATGCACCAGTTATAATTTATGACTTATGATTGTGAATACAAGAATAATGATATATGAACCGCGATAAATCTAAACAAAACATCCAAGTAGAAATAAGATGTGATACTACGATTCAAGTCGCCAAAGAACTTACTGAAATACTCTGGGCAATCGAATAAGTTGTATAGGCCAGAGTTTGGTTTACGTAATAATGGGTGGAAGCTAACTCACAGCTTACTTTACCAAATTGAGAAGGAAAGGACCCTATACACATGCATATAAAACGTACTGCTTTGCCATGTTCTGACGTCTGCATGCAGCCTTACTACGTAATTTTTATTTTCCCTTGATAGTGAAGACATGCATAATGAATTAAGTTGTTTGTTCTTTTATAGATTAAATGTATTTTACGTATTGACCACATGGTTTCTCTGATAGAGGTTAACCAGCGGAGCCACATACAACAAAAGTGGTTCAATTAATAGCTTGTTTGGCCAAGCTTCTTTTTGGTCAAAAGTGTTTTTTTTTTTTTGCCAAAAGTACATTTGGCCAAAAATTAAAATGTTTGGCCAAACTTTTGGAAGGAAAAAAAGTGCTTTTGAGGAGAAGCAGAAACAGTTTTTGAGAAGCAAAAAAAAGTAGTTTCTCTCCAAAAGCACTTTTTTGAGAAGCACTTTTGAGAAAAATACACTCAGAAGGAGTTTTTTAAAGCTTGACAAACTAATTGCTGCTTAGAAGTGCTTTTCAAACTAATTAGCTAAACACAAACTGCTTCTCACCAAAAGTACTTTTAAGAAAAGTATTTTTGAAAAAAAGATTGAATTTCAGGTGTGATATTCTTGTATTTTCTTTTTGAGTTTTCTTAGTTGAATTTCTGATTCAGACTAATTAGCATGTTGTTTGCACCAAAAGGTGCATTAGGTTGTTAAATGACATAATGAGGTGATAATAGTATTAATTAACTACGATTATGTGGGATGTATTTATTAATTTGGTATAAAAATCGGGCACAAAAATATTTCTTTTGTCTGGTATCTCGCATGGAAACAACACCCTTACTTCTTTCTTGGTTTTCCTTTTTTATTTTGGAGCTACGTCAAGGAAAGGTACGTGTATATATAAATATAGACATGAGTTCTTACATGAAAGTGCTGTATGTGTAGCTTTATAGCCAAGTGATGCCATGTATATCGATGTTTAGCAAGAAGACAAACATTGAAGAGAGCATTGAGGTCTTTAAGCGACTTTGAGTTGGGGAAAGAAACACATGAAGAAAGGCGACCTATCAAAGGAACATCCCATTATTATTAATCAAATATATAATGCAATTATGGGTCCGAAATAGTAGGCTTACATTCTCCTTGTCAACTCCTATAAAATGGGGCATTCTACAACGGGAATCTCATCACTCATTCTCTCAAATATTTGAAATATACATCAATTATTAATTAGCAGTAGTGAAAGTTCCTCAATTAACTGCAAATGGCTAGATGTGTGGCCCTCTTTGGGATTGTGTTGCTAATGCTTATAGCAATGGCAGAGGCAACTCCCCCTGGAATAGCTGACCATCCAAGCCATTCTCATTGCTCAGATGATGAAATCAAGCAATGTAAAAATCTTCCACATGTTTGTCCCAAATTTTGTCCCAATGGCTGCATAACTGAGTGTCGTTCTTGCAAGCCTATCTGTGTTGATGGCTCAGTGCCACCACCCTATTATCCATCGCCGTCATCTCCACCTCCACCGTCATCTCCACCACCGTCATCTCCACCACCATCATCTCCACCACCACCCTCATCTCCACCATCACCGTCATCTCCCCCACCTTCATCTCCACCACCACCGTCATCTCCACCACC